CCGTTCGTATGAATGGCTGGCTTCTATAGCCCAGCCATTCGAATGACTCTTTTTTCCCGAACAAATCTGCCGAACGAACGGCCACCCAAGTGAGGAGTGTGCTGCTGGTTAACAAAGTGATCCCAATTAGAACGTTGTGGTTAACCGCAGACACTTCTCAATTAAACCGAACTCAGGGTGGTCGTCGTTCGTATGTCGACCACGAGGCAGCGGCCATTTTAAATCATGCGAACGCTCAGCGGTGTTTGGCTCTATTTCTATGGAACTGAAAACGGACACTTTTTCTGCCGAACACCGCTGAAACAAGGGAACGCCTGGCTGCCTCCACGAAAGCATGCGAACACCGGCCGTTCGGGAGATTGAGAGCATACAAAAGACTTAACCCAGATAGCCTTCCCATGGAGTCATTCGTATACCGAAAGACTGTAAGAACTTTGACTCCATGGCGATTGAACTATGTGTGTGGGATCTGAGCGCTATTCGCTAATAATATGCACTCAGATCCAGGCTATCTGGGGACATGTAATACTAACGGGAAATGTTCAGTTTTCATGTCGTTATGTATTTTTATGCCTTTTATTATTTTATGTTTAAGATGGCGACTGTCCTTGTCCTGGAGTTAATTGAGTTACTTGGTAATTAACTCCAGGGCAGAGGGGAGGGAATCATAATGCACTGTGGGTAAAATATGTGACTGTGTGTCTGAAATGTCCTTCTATCTGTCTGTAGTTTAAGTCTCCCATTTGGTCCCCTAGGGGAGTGTCCACCAGGTGGGAGACCTGCATAAATACGGCAGGTAGCCCACAGTAAAACCAGATCCTGTTTGACCCTCAATGCGGAGCTTCTGTCTCGTTATTGGGGGGATTTCTTCTTCACGTTTAGAGACTGCTGAATGGAAGAAAGCCGCTTTGGGGATATTATTGTTCGACGGTTACCAGCAGTTCGTATATTGCCGTTCGGGAGTTTGGAGCCGTTCGTGGATTTCGATCAGGAGATTGCCGCTTCCCCTGCATTTGGTTCGTGTGTTACAGAGTAAGCGAACGGAGACTGTACTGCAGCCGGGGAAGGTTTACTAAACGGCGGTTTTGCCTAAAGACACTGGAGGTGTCTTAACAAGTATATGCACATGTGTGTTTTTTTATATATGTTTCTAATGTGGGATAATACCAGTTCCACTTTATATACACTTTAAAAAGCACTTTATTATACATATGAACACTTGAGGTGTTTTTGTTAAATTTCTGCGCACCAGCACATTTTGTCTTTTACTATTTGTACCTTATTACCAAGGTTTATAGAGGGTGCTGCATATTAGAATTTTATCTGCTTTATTTTATATACCTTTACGACAATTTATCTATATTGTATATTGTACTCTATGAGAAGCATTATATTGGAAGAGAAGACATCAGCATGGGGTTGGACAGTGGTCATAGAAATAGCAGTAAACGTATAGTCCTGAAAAAAACATTCAGTACTATAGGTTCCGTTAATAACAATGCACCAGTCAAAAGTAGTCGATAACCGGGGCGTGGCCTAGCGGCGGAACGAAATGGCCGCATAGAGACTGAGCTCCTCCGGCCCCACTCAGCCACGCACAAAATACCGGCCACGGACAGGAGGATGGGGAAACATACCAAGGCAGGGAACACCCCCAGACCACCGGGGACCCGCCAGGTGAGCCAAAACCCCTCCATGCGGCAGTACTTGTCCGCGACGCCGGACCCGTTTTCCCAGGCGTCATCTGAGGCCTACCCGCCATCTGAGGCCTCCACGCCATACTCCCTCTCCCCAGCCCGGGAGGACACAGGGGAAACCCCCCCTGCAGACTGAATGGCCCTGCTAAGGGCTCTACCCACGCGGGCAGACCTCACCCAAGCCACCTCCGCCCTCCAGTCCTCTATCAAGTCAGACCTGCAGCTGATGAGGGCAGACATTCAGGGGATGGCAGACCGCATGGCCCAAATAGAAGCAGATCACGACGCCCTCACTGCGACACAAACGGCACAAGCCACAAACTACTCTAAAAGATCTGCCCAAATGCAAGCCATGGCCAGACATATAGAAGACCTGGACAATAGAGGCCGCAGACAGAACCTACGAGTAAGAGGCCTACTAGAAGGTGAAGACTCACCCTCCCAGCTTAAAGTCACACTCACCGCCATCTTCAACGAGCTCCTGAGCCGCCCCAGAGAGACCCCCATAGAGTTCATCAGAGCCCATAGAGCACTGAGACCCAGGGGCCCACCAGAGGCACCACCTAGGGACGTGATCTGCTGTCTAGCACTTTATGCCTTGAAGGAGGAAATTCTGTATGCAGCACGCAACAAGGGAGAAATCACCCATGAAGGCTCACATCTCCAACTGTACCCGGACCTATGCCCAGCTACCTTGGGATATCGCAGGGCACTAAAACCGCTCACCAGAATGCTAGTGGCCCAGAAAATAAGTTACCGCTGGACATTCCCCACAGGCCTGATCGCCACCACCCAAAACGGCCCTAGACCGATCCGCACCCCACAGGACCTACAGGAATTGTCAGAAGATCTCCACTTGCCACCCCTTAATCTGACCTGGCCAGACCCACTGGATTTCTACAACAGCCCAACTACACCCCAGGGGGACCCTGCACCGACACAGCGCAGACACCGAACAAGACTGGAGACCGTGAGGCCAGCAGGGGCAACACGTTAACGGACATACAAGACAGGAGCCACGCATGGAACTCGTAACTATGCACTGGGACACTCCGCACGTAGGCCTACACCACACATGGGCCACACACTTAGCCGTTAAAACACTCAGACACCCACGGGCCAGGGGAGGGTGGGGGGACCATCAGAAGTGGGCATACGAGACATTTTGCAAGCACAATCGAGGAACCCACGAAAGAAACACTGGGGACTCTGGGTATATTGGGGGGGAAGATGTATGGGGTTGTTTTGCCCTTCCTCTCTGCTTTCCCCCTCCTCCAGGGGTTTTTTTCTTTTCTTTTCTTGTTTTCCCTCTTTCCCGTTTGGGTGGGGGGATTTGGGAAAGGGGATGCTGAGGCTGAATAAAGGCTCGCTCCAGACCAACAGAGAGAGAGACCAACAGAGAGAGGGAGCGGAGGTTACCAGGGAGGGCTAGTACTATGAGAAGGGACAGGCCCCCAATGCCAACCGGACCCCCAGAACACCACGGCAAGGGGAGGGACACGAAATGGGAGGTGTAAGGCCAGCTAGTTATATACCTTAAAGCCACAAACCTACAAGCCACAACACGGCAACATAACTCACCACCCGGCAACGGAGATCTAGGGGCACAGGGGAGAGACTAGTAGGGTAAAGCCAATCAAACGAGCACGCACTCGAACACACACCTGGGAGATAGGGAAAGGGCCGGGATGGGCTGGGCCCAGGGGCTGCCAGCACCACCTGTACTGATTATATAGCTTCCGAGCAGAGGGGGCCGGGGGACACTGGAGACCTAGAAAGGAGAAGGATCCACCACTATTGGCCCTACGGGGTGAGGGAGTTAGAGGGCCACGTTCCCGGTAGACAGGGGCACCAAGATACCGGCGGGAGGACTCAGCGGTGCCGACAGGTGCTGCACAGCTGACTCCTACCTAGCCCACACCCTAGTCTTTTTTTGGAAAACCCACACAGTTTATTATTGTTGTTTATTACTGTTACATTTGTTACTAATTGTTGAAAGCCGCGCCCGCCCGCGGGACCCAGGGGGACAGGGGACCCACCCCCGACTTCAGACCCGCACTTGAGGAGTAAAGCAAACCCTCTAGCACCCACCCATACTCCCCAACCCTCCCCACCATACCCTGATTCTCCTGAAACATAGCAACCATGCCACGTCACAACACACACAAACAAGCGGAGATTAAATTCCTCTCCATCAACGCTAAAGGCATGAACATACCCGAAAAACACTTGCATGCCCTACGTCACTTCCACAGTCAAAAGTCACAGGTAGTCTTCATTCAGGAGACACTCTTTAAAGAGGGCCACGTGCCCAGACTGACGGACAAACATTACGCACAATGTTTCCTGAGTAATAACCCAGAGGGAAAGTCCAAAGGCCCAGCAATCCTGATCCATAGATCGCTACATTTTGCCACCACTGACCCACTGCGAGACAGCCACGGACGGTATATATATGTCAAAGGCACAATTGCAGGCCGCACATACACGTTCGCAAACCTATATACCCCCAATAAACGCCAACACCAATTTTTACGCACCGCACTTAGAACAATAGAGGGCTTCGCGGAGGGCTGTCTGGTCGTTGGAGGGGACTTCAATGTGGCCCTGACGCCGACCATAGACACATCCATAGGCCTCTCTACGACCCCCCAGCATATCTTAACAAACATATCAAAAACGCTGCGAGAGAAGCGTCTGGTAGACTGCTGGAGAGCTTTACACCCTGAAGACCGAGACTACACTTTTTACTCTATCCCCCACAAAACGTACTCTAGAATAGACTATTTCCTCATTCCACATTACTACCTGACTGAGGTTCGACGAACGGACATTGGAACAGCGACATGGTCAGACCATGCTCCAATTACGATGACACTAACCTCCCCACTCTATAGGCCCACCTGCAGTAACTGGAGACTGAACGAATCGATCTTAAACGACATTACAGTGACGACAGAAGCCAGGGAAAGACTTACGCAATACTTTACAGAAAACGATACGTCTGAGGTCACGCCTCTATGCCTATGGGAGGCTCATAAAAGCGTAATGAGAGGCCACTTCATAGCGAAAAGCGCCGCGCTTAAAAAAGCCAAATCTGCCAGACTTAAAACACTAATTCAGGACATACAGACTTTGGAATGTAGACACAAACAAACCCACCTGATAGCAGACTGGACACAGCTAACGGTACTCAGGAGGGAACTCTCCTCTATCCTGAATGCCAATCACCATAGAGCATACTTACACTCCAAAGCGTTCTTTTACACCAATGCTAACAAATGTGGTGCCCTCCTTGCCCGCATGATCGCCAAAAAGAGAGCAGCGGCCTACATCCCGGGGATCAGAGACAGAGATGGGAAGCTGCACAGTATGCCGACCGAGATGGCCAACACCATTAGGGCGTACTATGCGGACCTCTATTCCCTCGACCCGCCCAGGGGACAGGGAGCGGACACAGAAAGGAAGACGCGGATAACAGACTACCTAGAACCGCGCATTGGCAACTGCCTCTCACAGGAGGCAAGTACAGAGCTAGACGAACCGATCGAGACGCACGAGGTAGCATGGGCTCTAAAAACGGCCAAGACGGGCAAGAGCCCCGGACCGGACGGCCTACCAGCACGCTACTACAAAACCTTTGCGGAACTTCTCGTCCCACGCCTCACGACGGCACTCAATGCGATCCGAGACGGGCAGATATTCCCGACACAGACCTTGGCGGCCAACATCATCCTAATTCCTAAAGACGGGAAAGATCCTGAACATTGTGCAAACTATCGCCCAATCTCACTGTTAAATAACGACTTGAAGCTTTTTACGAAGATACTCGCACAGAGACTGCAGGCCCACCTCCCGAACTTGATACACAAGGACCAGGTGGGATTTACCCCGCACCGAGAAGCACGCGATAACACAATCAGAGCACTTTCCCTGATCCACCTCGCAAAAACTAGACAGGAGGGCCTTCTCCTGCTCTCCACGGACGCGGAGAAGGCCTTCGACAGGATTGCATGGGACTTCATGTTCCAGGTCCTCGACAAACTGGGGATGGGGCCTCACATGATGTCCTGGATCAGGGCCTTGTACTCACAACCAACAGCACGGATCTGCATAAATGGAGCCTTCACAGACCCCTTCGTGATCAGGAATGGAACCAGACAGGGCTGCCCCCTCTCCCCCCTGCTCTTTGTGCTAGCCCTGGAACCATTCCTGAACTCGATCCGAAACAACCCGGATATCCCGGGATTGAAGACAGGAGCGGGGAAACACGCAGTGGCAGCATATGCGGACAACCTACTGTTCTTCGTAACTAAGCCGGAAACATCCATGCCCACGATAATGAAGGAATTCGAACAATACGGGGAGCTCTCGAACTTTAAAATCAATTTTTCCAAATCCACGATCCTCAATGTCTCCGTCTCGAGGTCCAGAGCGACGGCCCTCAAACGAGCGCTGCCATTCCAATGGTCTGCCACCTCCCTAAAATACCTCGGCGCGGTGCTAACAAACGACCTCGCCCAACTGTACGCAGCGAATTTCCAACCACTCCTGACCACTATACAGAAGGACTTGCAGGAATGGGACCAGGTGCACCTCTCATGGTTTGGAAGAGTGGGAGTGCTCAAGATGAACATCCTACCGAGGATCCTCTACCTGTTTCAAGCTATCCCCGCGACCATACCGGAGGCATTTTTTACCTCCCTTAGATCGATGGCCCTCCGGTTCACATGGCAGAGACAGAAGGCCAGGATACAACACGACGTGCTCACACTACCGAAGGTCAAGGGAGGCCTAGCTCTGCCAGATTTTAAGAGATACCATAGAGCCACACACATCCAAAGGATAGTGGAGTGGTCTAAACAGGGAGTGGAGAAACTCTGGAAAGATGTGGAGTCTTCCCTGGTGGAGAGACCGATGGCAGTCCTCCCTTGGCTGGACCCCCAACAAAGCAGGCAGCTAGCTGCTCCACACCCCCTAATCAAAGCGATCGTGCGGGTATGGCAAGCTCTGGCGGTACCACTCTCGCTCACCTCCACGCCATCCCCAATGATGCCTCTAATCCATAATGAGGTATTCCCGCCAGGAAGGGAACCAAGAACGTTGGTCCAGCTGCTGGGACAAGACATACCGAGGCTCTTCCATGTCATAGACAACAGCCGCATCAAATCACTAGAGACCATGACGGGGAACTCCAATCACCCATTCATGCTCCAATTCAGATACCGACAACTGAAAGGGCTCATACAAGAAACCACCCGAAACAATCACACTCTCAGACCCTTAGCAACGTTTGAAGAGATATGCATGGACCCCGACCCGTTGCCGAGGGGCCTGTCAACGCTCTATGGAATGATCATGCGGTTGAGGAGGCTGCCACCCCCAAGCTTCATGGGGAAATGGGAAACAGTTTTAGGCACTACATTCACACCCAACCAATGGGACAAAATTTGCACCCTCTCACTACACTGCGCACCATCTAGCGGAACGCAAGAAACAGCATATAAAATACTGGCCCTTTGGTACCGCACCCCACTCCACACACACCTATACGACCCCACGAAGGACGACGTATGCTGGAGGTGCAACACGCACAAGGGAACATACCTCCACATATGGTGGGAATGTCCAATCATCCAACCATACTGGTCAACCATCCACACGATCATCAAAAGATTCACAGACTCCCCACCACCCATGAACCCCGCAACATTCCTCATCCATCACACCAAGATGAAAGCATCAACATATAAAAAATCCTTAACAATACGGATACTTAATGTAGCCAAAAGCCTAATCCCCCTCTACTGGAGAAAACAATGTGCGCCCCCGCTGGGGACGTGGTACCAAAAAATGGAGGAGCTGAGAGCTCTGGAAGAGCTCTCCCTGCTGGCAGAGGGGAGGACCCAGACGTACATGACGATCTGGACACACTGGATACTGACCTCGACTAACGCTGACTTCCAGGACCTGCTGACGTGACTGCAGACACCTGAAGGGACAAACGACCATCTTGACTGAGGGAGTGACTACACAAACAAACAGGGAAAACACCAGAATCAACATCATAATAAATAAAACACCCCCTCCCCCTTTGCCCCCCCCATCTCCCCCTCCCACCGGTCCCCCCCTGGGGGAACCCGCGGACGGGAAGGCGACAAAGTAGAGGAGTTCATAAGACGTAGAGGCTCCAGACGGAGGGGCACCCTCTAAGCAAAGAAAGGAAGAGAGGGAAAAGATAAGGGTAGCAAAGGGGGAGGGAAAAGAACAAGAAGGGGAAAGCCAAGAGTAAAAAGAGAGAATAAGAAAGGAGGGAAAAGAAATGGAAAGGTGTAAGGAAGACAAGAAGGAAGGAGACAAAGAGAATCAGACAGAAAAAACAGGAAAAGGGACAGGGGTTCACAGTTAAGGATAAGACAAGGAGAAACAAGCCTAACTTTGCACTCACGCCAAAGGCGGGAGTTAAAGACGGTACAAACCACCTCCACCCCATCCAGATCAACAGGGGTATACCCCACTGTCACCAAAGATCTGAGAACTGAACGCGCAAGGCACACACAACACCCGGTTTCTCCCCCATACGGTTGGTCAACACACACCACCTGCCTAGACACAAGACACCAACCACCTTTGTCACACTGGGTGATATACTATAGCCACAACAACCATACGAGAGAGGGAAAACCCCATCCACACAAAGGTTTATAGGACCCATGAGCCCAACTAGTATACGTCTTTAAACTGTTTGATGACTTGCATGTCACTATGTTGTTCACAAAAACTATCTCATGTCTGAGACATGAACTGGGAAAGCCTTTATTGGACCTGCGTGTCCGCGACAATGTTTTTTCTTTTTCTGCATAAAATGAAAATTCCTTGAATAAAAGAAATTTACAAAAAAAAAAGTAGTCGATAACCAACTAACAATACTTTACAACAAATTAGTGGATGCCCTTATCAAACATAACAGGTTTGTACATGAGCATAACTTACACGTACATGTACATCTGAAGTGGTTTTGTGTTGTTGGGTGGTTTTAAAGTGCAAAAAATGTAAGAAAACCCCATGGTACTCCGCAGATATGGCTAAAATAGTAAAAAAACTAAAAGTTAGCCTTTAGTAATCATAAAAAAACCCAGAGTGAGGAAGATAGATATTTAAGATTAGGCAGAAAGAGGCTAAGCAAGTTATAAGAGCTTCCAAATCACACACAGAAGAGAAAATAGCACAGTCAGTAAAAAAAAGGGACAAAACATTTTTTAGAAACATAAATGAGAAAAGGAAAGTAAAACAATGATTATTTAGATTAAAACAAAAGAAGGAAGGTATGCAGAAGAGGATAAAGGTCTAGCTGACTGCCTCAATTAATATGTTTGTTCAGTATTTACAGATGAAAATTAAGGAAAGGGACCTCTGTTAGGAAAAAGGACAAATTAGTCATTTGTTACATGTGAGTTTACAGAGGATGAGGTTCTATTTCAACTGTCAAAGGTAAAGGCAAATAAGTCAATGGGGCCTGATGGCATACACCCAAAGTAATTAAAAGAGCTTAGTAGTGTACCAGCAAAACCGTTAACTGATTTATTTAACCAATCATTGTTAACAGTGTAAGTTAGTGAATGTTATGCCCATTCACAAGAAAGGTAGTAGGGAGGAGTCGGGCAACTTTAAACCAGTAAGCCTTACTTCAGTAGTGGGGAAAGTAATGGAAACCATGTTAAAGGATTGGATTGTTGAACATCTAAAATCACATGGATTTCAAGATCAGAGACAACTTGGGTTTACTTCAGGGAGATCATGCCAAACTAATCTTATTGATTTTTTTTTGATTTGGTAACTAAAATAATAGATCAGGGTAGTGCAGTAGACATTGTCAACCTAGATTTCAGGAAGGCTTTTGGCACTGTTTCACATAGAAGGCTTATCAATACACTGCAGTCTTTAAGTTTGGATTCCAATATTGTTGAATGGGTAAGGCAGTGGCAGAGTGACAGGCAACAAAGTGTTGTAGTCAATGGAGTATATTCGAAGCATGGTCTTGTTACCAGTGGGGCACCTCAGGGATCTGTACTTGGACCCATTCTCTTTAATATTTTTATTAGTGATATTGCAGAAGGTCTTGAGGGTAAGGTATGTATTTTGCTGATGATACAAAAATATGTCACAGACTTGATGTTACAGGAGGGATAAGCCAAATGGCAAATGATTTAGGTAAACTATAAAAATGGTCAGAGATGTGGCAACTGACATTTAATGTGGATAATGCATCTTGGGCATACAATTCCAAGGGCAGAGTATAGAATATTTGATACAGTCCTAACCTCAACATCTGAGCAAAGAGATTTAGGAGTAATTATTTCAGATGACTTCATAGTCTGTAATAAATCAGCAGGAAATGCTAGCAGAATGCTTGGTTGTATAGGGAGAGGTATTAGCAGTAGAAAGAGGGAAGTGCTCATGCCATTGCACAGAACACTGGTGAGACCTCACTTGGAGTATTGTACGCAGTACTGGAGACCGTATCTTCAGAAGGATATTGATACCTTAGAGAGAGTTCAGAGAAGGGCTACTAAACTGGTTCATGGATTGCAGGATAAAACTTACCAGGAAAGTTTAAAGGATCTTAACATGTATAGCTTGGAGGAAAGACGAGACAGGGGGGATATGATAGAAACATTTAAATACATAAAGGGAATCAACACAGTAAAGGAGGAGACTGTATTTAAAAGAAGAAAAACTACCACAACAAGAGGGCATAGTCTTAAATTAGAGGGGCAAAGGTTTAAAAATAATATCAGGAAGTATTACTTTACTGAGAGGGTAGTGGATGCATGGAATAGCCTTCCAACTAAAGTGGTAGAGGTTAACACAGTAAAGGAGTTTAAGCATGCGTGGGATAGGCATAAGGCTATCCTAACTATAAGATAAGGCCAGGGACTAATGAAAGTATTTAGAAAATTGGGCAGACTAGATGGGCTGAATGGTTCTTATCTACTGTTACATTCTATGTTTTTATCAGCAGCTCCAAGGTTAATCAACTAAACATTTATAATCGTAACTGCAATAGTAATTGCAAACCCCACTAATAATCATTTTGTTTGTCAATAACATCGTAGCCTGATTTGTTAGATTGACAAAGATCCTGTATTTCAGTTGAAATGTTGCCAGGTCCACTGTAGTGGAATAAGATCTCCTTCTGATATATTTTAGTGTTTCGACTCTATTACCTGTTTCATAGTGTTAACATGTCGAGCTTGAGTTTATGTGATTAACAACCAAAGCAAAGTTAAGCTTGGTTTTAAGTTAATAATTATTATTAAAAATTGTGACATTACGGGGAGAAAATGATTAAAACATTTTTGGTTTGCGATTTTTTATTAAAAAAAATCAAACACAATAACATGCATATTTCAGTAACTATTATTAACTCAACACAAGCGTGGTATTGTAATCAAGGTCTGAAATTAATACTTAGAGATTTATTTGTCATAAATTTTTTGGCCCAAAAATAATATGCTTTAAAATATGCTTACAAAAATAATTAACAGTACGTGCATCTTGTTAAGATTTCTTCAACAGCCTAGAATACAATCCTCCTCAGGTGTTAATTGAATTGTCTAAGAGTTGCAATCCTCAGTCTCTTGCAAACAAGCCAGGCAACAACACACACTCAGAATGGTTCCTGAGAACTTTAGTCGTAAAACTGAAGCACCTAATATCAAGCATTTAGAGACTGCCTTACCTTAAGAGCTGCAAGGTACTTCTGGGATACTATTGCACTATAATTTTATGTTGTATGCTTACAGATAGAATATTTTTCTCCTCCCCTCTAATGTGCTATTATTTCTCTTGTTTGTCTGTACTCCTTCCTTGTAGACTGTAAGCTTGTTTGAACAGGGCCTTCTTTAACTCTTGTCTCTGTTATATTCTGTATGTCATTACTTATTGTAGAATATCACCATTTTATAATTGTAAAGCATTGCGGAATATGCTAGCGCCATATAAATTATAATAATAATGATTGGACACCAATTCATTTAAACTGAAAAAAGTGAGCAGGTGAAGGATTGAACTGAAATATTATCTCTTTAATATTAAACACTTTACAGTCCAACATAAACATTACCTCTTCATTGCCAACATAAGAAAGGGGCCTTATTTTTCATTGTCTTGTTACCCAAAATAACGATTTTTATTTTGCATTTCTGCTTTCAGGGGTAATTTCCTTCGATCTATGAATTTCAACTATGAGTTTTGATTGAAAAAAGGAAGAATAAGGATGCGCCTAAAACAAGTGGAAAAGGCAAACTAATAATATGGGAATAGCAGCAGTAGCAAAAAGTCCAAAAAAGTGTCCAAATATAATATATGAATGGAATAATCACGGTACCTAATAGTCCAAATATAAAATGTCCAAATGTGCAAATGGTGGTCCTAGTAGTCCATCAGAAGAGTATGTAGCGTCCTGAATGAGTAAAATATGCGAGAAGAGCAGAAGAGAGAGAAAAACTCCAATGGTGTAGTATAAAAACAAAATATTGATATTTTGTAAATATTTGTGGAACTACTCACAATATTCAGAGCTTAAGTCCAGCTCTGGTATGGATAGCGTGAAGTGGAATAATCCCCACTCAGGGATATGTGGTGCTCCTCTTTGGTCCTTTGGTAAACAGAAGGAGTCCAACTCGGGATAAAAATAATAAAAAATATAGTGCTCACTGTATAGTGGATAAGACGATAAAGTTAAATAAAATATACTCATGATATATAGAGCAGACGTACTGCTCGGTGGATAGCGTATGGGTGGTATAATCCCCACCTTGAGGATTCTTTGGTAGTCCGATGTGGTCAAAATCAATGGTAGTTAGGTCTGGATAAAATAAACTTGCATAGAATAAAATAGCAAATAATATAAAAGTGAAAAGAGGAATGTGGCAAACCAGTGTAAAATAGCCAGATATTCCTTTAATGACACTTTGATTATTAAAAGAGAAAAAAAGTTTCTATACGCGTTTCGCCACAATAGGCTTCATCAAGTAGAAACAATATAAAAAGAAAGAAAACAGAGCTAACATACAGTACTTATATAGGGAACATTAAAATACAGAAATAATTTAAAATTCCCGCCAAAATGACGTCACCAATCGTCATGGGAGGGAATACAGTACAGTGTGTAAAAAAATATAAAATATAAATATATTACAATAAGATATAAAATGTAGAACATATTAGTTATAAAAGAAGTTGAAAACGAGTGCATTTTCAATTAAAAATCGTATAGATAAAAACATCATGTGACGCGGAAGTGGATGAAGCCACGTCACGTGATGGTAGATGGACCGCATGCGTCATTCACTAGTGGAACGCACATGCGGTCCATGCAGGGGACAGCTACCGGGCATGACGCTCAGGGGCGGAGTGAGCGTTATAGGTAAGAGAAGTATCCTAACAGGCTACTGTTGTAACAACAAATGAAAAATGAAACATAGTTATGAATAATATATGCAGATAAAAGGTAAGTATAATAAAATGGACTGAAAAAAAATTTACAGTGTATTAAAATATACTTTAAAAGGAAATAAATATGTGTATTGTTATTATTATAAAAAATTAAAAAGATCAAATTCTATATTAAGACCTAGTGGGATGAAGGTCTTCAAATTATAAACCCATTCCATTTCTTTACTTCGTAAAGTCTTTTTGATATTCCCTCCTCTCCATGAGATTTCGCATGTATCAATACCTATACATTTAAGTAATTTAGGGTTTTTATTATGTATCAGAAAGTGCTTTGATAATGAATGATTTTCCAAACCTTTAGAAATATTTCGGCAATGTTCTGCTAGCCTCGTTTTAAGATTTCTAGTTGTCATGCCAACATATTGGAGTCCACAAGGGCACTCCAATAAGTAGATCACATTTTTTGTATTGCAATGGATAAATTTATTTATTTGATAAGTCTTTTGTGTAACGGATGATGTAAAAGAATTGGTCTTAGATCTAATAATTGTGTCGGTGCGTTTACAGGCAATACACTTATTTCATTTAAAAAAACCTTTAGGTTTAATAAACGGAGACGAGGAACTGAAATGAGAAGTGGTACTTTTTGCTTTAGTAAAATTATTTGTAAGGATAGATTTAAAGCTGGGTGCTCCTCTAAAAATAACATGAGGTCTATCAGGAATGATCCCAGCTAAAATATCATTCTGTTTTAATATATGCCAGTATTTTTTTATGATTTTCTTTACAACATGGCTTTTGTTGTTAAAATCAAAAATAATTGGCAATGTTGGGGTGCTCTCAGTAGTTGTCTTATCTGTATATTTTAAAAGATCTGATCTATTCTTGCCCTTGACACTATTTCTGATTATATTTAAATCATTAGTAGAATAATTCTTTTGAGCAAATTTATTTAATAGAGTATTTGATTGGTCATCATAATCCTGGGTAAGGGAACAGTTCCTCCGAAGACGGAGAAACTGGCTTTTTGGTATCCCATTGAGCCAGGGTCTATGGTGGCAACTTGACATATCAATAGCGTTGTTAGTACAAACTTTCTTAAAGAAAGTCCTTGTTTGCAATTCATTATCATTAATAAAAATTTCCAAGTCTAAAAAATGAATTAGAGATCGACTATATTCAAAAGTTAAAATAATGCCTTTGTTGTTGGAATTTAAAAACTGTAAAAAAAGATTAAGAGAACTTTCAGAACCATCCCAAATAAAAAACAGATCGTCAATATATCTAAAATAAGTATTGTTTTGATTATTTATATATTTTTTTCTCAATAATACAGTGCCGTATTGAAAGCTCTGTAGAAATTGTTAGATTGATCCTCTGGAACAAATAATAGACTTGTTTTTGACTATTTCCCCATTTTTGTCTCGTTGGTAATTTGTATTTGTAGACAATAAATAATTTAGAAGCTATAAGCTAAGCTATCACAGCAACACAAGATACCCTGCTGATTAGATGTGAATGAGGCACGATCTTTAGAACTGTGGATCCATACAAGGGAAGTATTAAATGGAAAGAGGTCAGCTTAAGACTACAAGACTACAAATGAGCAGTGCTTCATCAATAGAATTCATCTACTATGATCTTCCAAAGCTAGTTGAATACTGACTTAACAAGAAAATGTCTCTAGGATACATGTGAAGTTATGGACATATATTTAAAGTCCACGATTCAAATTAAGCAGATACGTATTAATCAGATCCCTACGTTATATTCTTCCTGCCATTTTACTCAAATTATTTGAATGGAATACTGTAAATAAGAATGGAAAACTAATTACCATCTCCTTGTAGACGAGACACAAAGCACACATTGCATATATATATGGTTAAATTTAATCTTATAACTCTTCTGTTCTATAGTTGTCAGGATTACTAGTTGATCCCGCACATAGAATTATATCACACCTAGGACTAAAAGGTAATGTCTTACCAGGCCTTAGAATGGCCAGACTTAACGTACTAAAGAATAGTCAGAATACTAGCCGAGGTCAGGGACACAGAATGGGACACAACGATAAGGGAAAGCCAGAAGTCAGGGATACCAGAATACAGGGAAATCAAAACAAAGCCAAAGTCAATAACCAGAAATAAACGCTTAGGAACACACTATCGGACAACCAGTAAGGGAAACCACGACAGGACAACGAGGAGAAATAAAAATGTGTTTAAATAAGCCCTTTACAAATCTAATTGGCCGAAATCGGCCTATGACCCCAGAACGTGCGTGCGCATCTCCCGCGTGATGTCACACGCACGCCGATGTCGTCATCTACGGGGGCAGACATGGGGATATAATTTGGTGTGGATCCGCAGCGGCTGGCGTCCATCAACATGTTGCAGGAGTCAGGTACACGGACGCATGGCCGCTGAGCGCAGATACCGCAAGGTGAGAATGAATAAGTTAAAATAGTTCGCTCATTCAAAAAACACTAAAAAGCTTTTATCAGGGTTATGCACTGAAACCCTGGTTTTGCTAGTCAAAGAAAACCATGGTATCAGAGTTGCGTAGAGGATTAAACATGGTGTCAGTTCGCTAAATATAATATCCGCTGAAATTTATAACTGCAGCAAAATTGAGCTAGATGAGTACTGAATAGCCCTATAAGTACTTCAAGCAGCTGTGAATTACGCAGGAATTAATTCTCAAATGATTCTTAAGCAAGATTGCATCATATATTCTAGACTGGAAGCTGTTGGTAATTAATTCAGTAAAAAATGGCAAATGTAAAAATTCTGTAATTTGTTTCATTAAAAATTATAACTCTTCCTAGTGCTCTGGCTAGAGTTTGTCTTTTATTTTTGTATACTTCTCTTTTACAAGAAATACAAAACATCTTGATCTAAAATTCCTCCTTCCATAAGGCACTTTATTATCTACCAAAAATACTGTAAAATTATTTAGAAATTTGTTTTCCTCTGTATTTGTCTTTTCACCCTCCTTCCAGAGCCGGCTTGCCTTTATAACCTCAGTGCTCTGTCACTATTTCTGACCTGTGAAACATTTATGAGTTTGATGTTTGTAACTTGTGTCCTACCACAAGTTCCATAGAACTCTGGGCTCCTGTAGAAAAAAAACAGCCTTGCTCACTGACTCCCTTTACAGATTGCTACATTAGGATGTATTAATGCATGTACAATGCTATAAAAGCCACTAAGATAATACTAATGTATAAACATACTTAGAATACTTCCAATAATACTTTCCTATGTTTACTAGATTGGATTATTTGCCATCTCTAAACTCTGTAAATGTTTATTGCTTGTAGATATCACAATTATATTACTACAAATAATTAAAGTAAACTTGTCCTACTTTTTCAAACGTATTTACTAAGAGCCGCTAGGTTTTCAAACAATGCGGTTGTTTTTCTGTCCCTTACATTAAGCTTTAATAGAGCTTTAATAGTGCAAATCTACCATTTGCAAAGCCTATCAAGTTCAGATATTGTCCCTCAGAGCCAGTGAGTCATTTACTGAAAGCATCTTTGTACACGGTAATGCTGTGAATATTGTGAAATGCCTCATTAGATTCTAGAATTGATATTAAGATGCCATATGTAGCAGGATGTGTTCAGAGACATTAGTGTTACAACATGAAAACAAAACAATAGCAAAATGGGCAGTGAATTTATTTTCTTCTGAGTTAGTTACCAGTGGTCACTAGTCTAGGACATATGACGCATTTCCTTAAATGTCACATTCTAGAGCTCTTAAAACATACAGACTAATCTGGCCTCTTAAAGAGTCTTAGGGATTTTTATATAAAATTAAGAATGTAGTCAAGACTTTTAGCTATCCAATTCAAATGAGGCACCCTCTCCTGGGTCAACGGAGAGATCCTAGGAGGAGAAAGAGGATCTTTCATCCCCAAGGGCCATATTGGTCCATGCAGTGCCGCAGAGGAGATCCCAAATATCTCAAATGGTAGGTCATTTATCTGCTTTAGCTTTTTTAGATTTATGATACACAGTTTAGTAAAGTAAGAGTATTTCAGTTGTATGTTTGCCTAGATTCCACCCGAAAATCGCCTTTTATCGGTATTGAGATCAGGAGCTCAAATAAGAGGGACTGCGCTGGTCCTCAGTTGGCTCCACTTCCCCAGGATTTTTAACATAATGTTTACTTATCTCTATATTTGACATATACATGTTTGTGAGGTTTAAATAATAAAATGAAATATAAAAATCCACATCTCTTTATCCAGTAACCGAATGCCTCCATCTAAGTATCATTTTAATCATTGTTATAAGCCCTGTGCTTTGTACCTGGTAGTCAGCCAAGAGCATATAGAAATGTATGCAAAAACTGACAGAATTTATTGTGAAGAGTGAATTTTAATGCAGCTGATATTTATACTTGCTACTGAGATAGCTCATTAAGGCCCTCAATTAATGTAAAACAGGGACAGCAAAACAACTTTATCTTAAAGGAAAGGAAAACAATCCTTTTTCCTGGCACTGCAGGTTCCCTCTCCCTCCCACCCCCAATCCACAGTTGCTAAGGGGTGAAAACCCCTTCAGTCACTTACCAGAGGCAGCGACATGTCCCACGTCGCTGCTTCTTCCTCCGCCATTGCTCCTCCCATTCATTACGTCAGCTGGCGGGAGAGACTGATCCCACCCGCCAGCTGGGGAGACCCTATGCGCATGCGGGACAATGACGCGCATGCGCACTAGACCTCTCCATAGGAAATAATTGAAAATGCTTTTTTAATGCCTTCCTATGGGGATTTTAGCGACGCTGGAGGCCCTCGCTATGATCCCGGAAGTGCTCTCTAGTGGCTGTCTAGTAGACAAACACCAGGGGAGGACTTAACCCTGCATAGCAATTATTGCAGTTTCTGAAAACTGAAATAATTACACTTGCAGGGTTAAGGATAGTGGGAGTTGGAGCCCAGACCCAGCCAATGGGCAGAAGTGGTCTGGGTGCCTGGAGTGGCCCTTTAATGAAGCAGTTTTGATGTATAAATCATGCCCTTGCAGTCTCACTGCTCATTCTCTGCCTTCCTAAACACTTCCTGTAAAGAAAGATCTAATGTTTACACTTCCTTTATTGCAAATTATGTTTAATCTAAAATGTCTTATCCCCTGCTCCGTTAATAGCTTGTTACACCCTGCAGAAACCTCCTGTGTGTCCAGGAGATAAACACTTCCAAAGCAAGTTAACATTTGATTGCAAATTAAACCATTTTTTTCATGCAAGCTGTGTCAGTCACTGCCAGGGAAGGAATAGTTAGGGCTACATGGACAGAAACAAAAGTGATTTAACTCCTAAATGGCAGAGAATTGGCACAGATACTGCAGGTGCATGATCTATACACCAAAACTGCTTTATTAAGCTAACGTTGTTTTGATGGTGTTGATGCCTATAGTGTCCCTTTAATTTAAAAAAAAACTTTCTGCATATCCATTCATAGTTCTTAATCTTTTTTAAAGCAAGTTATATCTGTATTGTGTTGCTGTACACAGTATTATTAGGATGAATACTTTATATGTGTAACACATGATCGTACAAAGTGAAAATATTAAAAAACATACAAAAGACAATGCAAAAACATTAAAAAATACACCGAATAAAAATCAGGAAGATCATTATGCTAGGGACTAGGAATAAAAACAAGAAAATATATAATTAATCAAGAAATGTGAATATTACAGCATTTTGAATGTTTACCTATGTTTATGATTGCCAACAAAATAGAATTACATTGATGTTAATGTCATTCGGAAAAAAAACGTAATAAAATGCACAAATACATCGAAGAAAACTCATTTAATCGTACATAATTTAAACTTTTCCAAGATGACAGTTCAGATCATTCAAATTAGTTATACGAGTGAAATTAGTTATATGAGCGCCACTTGTAATTACACCTAGCTTTGATTATACTGGGAGGACATAAACATATTACAAATTCAGATTTCAATTTAATTCAGTGAAAAGGTCATTTGTATCTACAGAAATGAACATTTATGCCAACAGACAAGAACAAATTTTTATCACAGAATTTTAAACATCCGAAATATTGTTCTCTATACGATGATGAATGCACTAATTAGCTAATGTATGTATTTACAGATATATATGATAGATTCATATGCGCAATGGACCATGAAAGATATGTTGCTGAATAGTTGAAGAATTATTATTTCACTTCTATATAAATGCCACCATTAAAGGGACACTGTAGGCACAATAACCATTCGCTTTCCTTGAAATGGCTATAATCAGTCCACTGGCACTGTTTAACACTAAATAAGGCTCCCGAGCTACCCACACACCAGCCACAAATAGAGACATGGCTAAGGAACATTACACACTTCCTTCTTGTTATACCAATTTATACAAGCAATATGCACTCTCAGACACCCATTGCTGCTCAGGCTAATGCTTCTTCATTAGCCCAAGCAGCACAGAGGGGTTGCTGGGCTGATGTGGACTCTTGTTTAGCATTTTAACCCCTTAAGGACCAAACTTCTGGAATAAAAGGGAATCATGGCATGTCACACATGTCATGTGTCCTTAAGGGGTTAAACATTTAAAACAATGTAATACTGAAGAGATCTAATGTGTCAGAAAAATCCAGACACTATAACCACGTCAAAGGAATCAGTTACCATGCATACAGTTTTTCCGTGAAAATAAGAAATCCCCAGAAAATAATCCCTAGTTTATTTTCAGGGGATGCTCGTAATATAAGCCCTAACCCGAAAATAAGCCCTAGTTGAGTTTGTCACTTGTTTGCTAATCCATGATCTGGGAATTTTTCCCAAACATAGATTTGTGGGATTTCATGCGCTAGTAAGCTAATATATGTCAGGGGAAGTAGCAGCTCTACGCTCAGCCCCTGAACGTAGAGCTGTTCTCTTGCACATGCTTGCTAGTGCATCCTCACTTACTGGCGAATTTGCTTTACGACCATGTCGTAAGAACGGAACCCAGTCAGTAAGTGAAGACCACCTGTAATATATAAAATAAGATATCCCCTAAAACTAAGCCCTAAATGCAGTCTAATTTTCGGGTAAAAACAATACAGTCAAGTAAAATATTGAAAATCATTCTCAATGTTTTCCTATTTTTATCTTTACTTAGAAATTATACACAATTTTGATATTTACAGATCTTGTTCTTATGTAATTAATTAATGTAATTAACATATATACTTCAAATATTGGAAAGGAGTAGGCACTCGCAGGAGTAGGCACTCGCAGGACTTTGTCATGAAAAAGTAAAAAAGTTTATAATTGTGCAGCGTAAACGTTTCGGACCCACTCGTGGTCCTTTCTCAAGACCAGGGTCTTGAGAAAGGACCACGAGTGGGTCCGAAACATCGACGCTGCACAATTCAAAACTTTTTTACTTTTTTTTAACAAAGTCCTGTGAGTGCCTACTCCTTTCCAATATTTGAAGAATGTATTATAGTTCCACTGTCGAGCACCGAGGCTATATTATCTAAAGATTTTCGCGGTTTATATATTTAGTGCAATCAAGCACCGGGTCAAATAACTGTAAGTAGGAGTTCAAGGCTTTTTTTAATTTATATATATATATATATATATATCATTAAACCAGTTCTTATGTGCTTTAATGCTTTAACTAAAAAATACATTTCTGTTATTTCAGAATTAATTTAATGAGATTTCTCGTATTGTTAATTCAAGCCTTGAAGCCTAAAATACACAATTCCAGCTGATAGACATATTTATAGTTTAAAATTGAAGAGAGCAATTAGACCTTCAAGGTGTTCAATTTAAATAATAACCTTGTGCCCTCTTTTAAATCTCTATTAACAATAATCAAGCAAAATATGTAGGACAATGGGCTATCAGAGAAATCTGAGATAATGGTAGGGCAAGTCTATCATTGATTGCCGTATTAAACACTTTCCTGTAATTAAAATGGGATTTGGATAACCCTATCTGAAAAAAGCTTTTGGAATGTAATAATTCTAATTAGAGGAAACTAATTTTAGTCATTTAATAACAAAACATTAAATAACAGTACATATATATATATATATATATATATATATAAAATATTTCTTTGAGTGTGGGGTCCTCTGAAATTAAAGGTTGTAGCTTTGTAATAATTTTACATACTCCTTCTAGAGTTGGGTTGTAAGTAACTGCTAGAGGGATTCTTGTTTTGTTTTCCTTTTCTTTGTATTGTAGGAGCCTTTCCCGTGGTGTTTTTAGGGCAGATTTAATTTTTTTTAGATATTGTCCTTTCCTTATAGCCTTTTTGCCTAAATGACTCTGACAGTGTATTCGGGTGCTGATCTCTGTCTTTTGTGTCAGAGCAAACGTGGTGATATCTGATTGACTGGCTGTAGATGATACCTTGTTTGGTGTGATTGGGATGGAAGCTGGAATTGTAGCGGTAGCTGTACCTGTCTGTGGGTTTTCTATGTACAGATGGATGAAGAATGCCATTGGTGACAGTTATTGTGCAGTCCAAGAAACTCACGCTATGATTTGAAAAGTTCATTTTAAGGTTTATTGATGGGTTGAATTAATTTAATGATTTATGGGAGTCTATAATGCATTTTTGTCCTTCTATCCATATTCTGAAAATATCATCGATGTAACAATTATATGTATATGGTTTGTGGGGCTGTGCACATAAAAATCTATTTTCTAGTTCAGCCATGAAAAGATTAGCGTATTGGGGAGACATTTTTGTGCCCATCGTGTCCCTGTCATTTTTAGGTAGTAACTGAAATAGTTGTGTGTGAGCATCATATTTGTGTGTGTGTTGGTGTGTAGGATGAGAGAAATGTAATGCAGGTCTCAATACCATCGGTATGTGGGATGTTACTGTATAAGGATTCCACATCCATTGTTACTAGTATAGTGTTTTCAGGTAGTTCATTTAACTGGTTAAGTTTATTAAGGTAGTCTGTAGTGTCCTGTATAAAGCTGCCAGTCTTAATAACTAGAGGCTTAAGAATGTTTTCTGTTAGGCCAGATATTTGTTCCGTGAGTGTTCCCATACCTGTTATAAAGGGCCGTCCTGGGTTCCCTGGCTTGTCGATTTTCTATGTTCATTCGCACCCGCTACATTGGAAGAGGTTTCTGCTCTGCTCCAGTCCTCCCGCCCCACCACCTGCTCCCTAGATCCAATTCCCTCACATCTCATCCGTACTCTGTCTTCTTCTCTTTCTCCACCTCTCACTAAAATTCTCAATCTCTCTCTCTCCTCTAGTATATTTCCATTGCCCTTCAAACATGCAACTGTAACCCCAATTCTAAAGAAGCCCAATCTGGACCCTAACTCCCCATCCAACTATAGTCCTATCTCGCTACTGCCTTTTGCATCCAAGATCCTTGAAAAAATTGTGTATGTGAGATTGACAGACTTCCTCGAGTCCAACTCTCTGCTAGACCCGCTTCAGTCTGGTTTCCGCGCTAAGCACTCTGTGGAAACGGCACTGACCAAAGTATCCAATGATCTACTCACTGCAAAATCTTGTGGTCACTACTCTATCCTAATTCTCCTTGACCTGTCTGTGGTTTTTGACACTGTTGATCATCAACAGCTTCTTCTCATCCTCCGCAATATCGGTCTACAAGATATTGCTCTCTCCTGGTGCTCCTCCTACCTCTCCCAGCACTCTTTCAGTGTTTCTTTCTCTGGCTCTGCTTCTTCTCCCCAACTCCTCTCTTTTGGTGTCCCCCAAGGTTCAGTCCTTGGTCCCCTACTGTTCTCCATCTATACTGCCTCCCTTGGTAAACTCATTAGCTCCTTTGGCTTCCAATATCATTTCTATGCAGATGACATGCAAATCTACCTGTCCTCTCGTGATCTCTCCCCGTCCCTCTTGACTAGTGTCTCTGACTGCCTCTCTGCTGTCTCTAACTGGATGGCTGCCCACTTCCTTAAACTAAACTTTACCAAAACTGAAATTCTGGTCTTTCCTCCCTCAAGTGTTGTTACTCTTGTGTCTGTCTCCCTCCAAGTCAACGGTGCTACCATCAGCTCCACCACGCAGGCTCGCTACCTAGGTGTTCTCTTTGACTCCGACCTCTCCTTCAAGCCTCATGTTCAATCTATCGCCAAATCCTGTCATTTCCATCTCAAAAACATTGCGCGCATCCGCCCCTACTTAACGCCAGATGTGACTAAGGTGTTGGTCCATTCCACTGTCCTTTCTCGCCTTGACTACTGTAATCCACTTCTCAGTGGTCTTACGTGCTCCCAACTTGCGCCGTTACAGTCCATAATGAATGCGGCGGCGAGGCTCATCTTCCTGTCCGCCCGCACCTCCCATGCCTCACCCTTCTGTCAGTCCCTACATTGGCTTCCTATAAAATATAGAGCTCAATTTAAAATTCTGGTTCTTGCTTTCAAATCTCTACATAATGCTGCTCCCACCTATCTATCCTCCCTTATACACAAGTATGTCCCGTCTAGGCCCTTACGATCTGCTGAAGACTTACGTCTATCTTCTGTCCGTACTCCCACCTCTGATGCTCGCCTTCAAGATTTCTCGAGGGCTGCACCGTTCCTGTGGAACTCGCTTCCCTCCTCCGTTAGATGCTCACCCAGTCTCCACTCCTTCAAAAAATCGTTAAAAACCCACTTCTTCATAAAAGCGTATCAATTAAACTGTTAATAGCTCCTGACTGATTCCTCTTCTGCAACTGTCATTAGTCTAATACTATCCTTACCTTTTTGTGTCATTTTACCCCACTCCCTCTAGCATGTAAGCTCATTGAGCAAGGCCCTCAACCCCTCTGTTCCTGTGTGTCCAACTTGTCTGGTTACAACTACATGTCTGTTCGTCCACCCATTGTAAAGCGCTGCGGAATTTGATGGCGCTCTATAAATATCATAATAATAATAATAATATACAGAATGTGCGTGTAACGAATTACAAAATCATCTGCTGCACCTGAAGCCATTCAGACTGCAAAATCCAGACATTGTTCACGCTATTTAACAATGTCTGGATTTTGCAATTCAAGCCTTGGTCAATATAGTCTTGATCTCAGCCAGACTGAACAACGCTGGATGGTGCATTAAGTTCCTGTTCAGTTTAAAATTGGTGTTTTAAATGGAAGAAAATAAATATCCAGGCACACCAGAGGTTTCTTCTAAAAGGTAGTCTTTTTATTTAAAACAAAGAAGTCGAGACAACTTTTCAGCTCCTCTCTGAGCCTTTATCAAGTCTGAGACGAAACATTGTGTCCACTTCCTTGTTTCAAATAAAAAAGCTGCATCTCAGAAGAAATCTCAGGTGTAACTGGATATTTCTTTTCTACCATTTGATGTCTTCAGGAATTGACCCTCCCTTTCTGGAGCACCCTGCAGGAAGTATTCCCCCTTTTTAGTGTGTACATTACACTCTTAGGTTGTTTTTTTTTTTTTTTGGGGGGGGGGGGGTTGTTTGTAAGAATATTATATGTGAAAACACAGATTTTAACCAAATGCATCTTGTGGGTTGCTGCAGATTCCCTGACCAAATGCTGGCTGTATTTGGCTTTATTAAATATGAGAATTGCCATTGCAGACAGAATTCAGTCATTCTGTCTGAACAAGATCAGGTGCATACTGAATAACCACACTGCTATGTATTAGGGGGAAGATACTGTAGGGTTAATTCTCTTTGAGTTGGGTGATTGGAATTTGGGATCCCTTAGCTGCTGAGTGCTGCATTGTTTTAACATTTAGGTGGTGAAGATTTAGCACCCCTGGGTCATATTTATTGGTAGGGATGTAATTTTTGAGGGCCAGATGTAAAAATTACTTATATCACTAAATCTGTTAACATTTTATAAATCTAAAATGTGCTTTTTAGTTCTCTTCCTATGTTTTCATTATTTGTAACTACTGCTATATTACATGAGGCTGTACACCATTATGAAGTTGTGATTTCCATAGACAACTGAAACGGTTTAACGAAAGCCGTTAAAAGAACACATCACATCCAGTCTCCATTGGTCACATCCATTTCAATAATTTCAGTGCAACAACCAGTTCATGTTCTCTGCTTTTTAACTCGCATCTTCCAAATTCGATTCACATCTCAGGTTATTAGAATGCCCATGGATTGTTTTTTGTTTGTTTTTTCCAAAATAGAAATATTGTTTATTGTCATTTCTGTACAGAGGAATTACTACTCATTAAATTATAGCTCAGTTCATCACTTGCACATAATTTTTAATGATATCATTCGATGAAATATGCAAAGTGTACAAGGTTTTAAAACCAGCCATAATTTATTTTAGAGTAAAATAATATATTTATCATCTTTTTATTTTCATTAGCTTTGTGATCAGATAGGGTATGGCTGATGTAACGAAGAGCAAATTGGAGGGCAGGTTTATTAACCCAAGGATCATAATTTAGTCTGAGCCTTTGTTGAACTGATTTTTTCTCACATTTAGTGGTTAAATAGTTAAAGCTCTTTTAATCCTATGTTTAGTTGTATTCGATTAAATATTATTTCAGATGTATTAAATACTGTGGTCTCCAAACATTTCAAACCTTCAAAACATAGATCTGCAGATGTTGTAGGACTACAACTCCCATCATGATTTGCATGTCTTTAGAATGACAAAGCAGCATACAAGCTGTATTTTTAAAGCATCTGGGTATCTACCTTTTAGGTACCGCTGCTATAGATTATTGGTATCACAATTAGCAGCTATATTCTACAGCCAGGAAGAATCTCTGTTGTTTAAATAACCATAAAATTCATGTACCATATACTTACAAGATGTTATGGTTTGGTGAGGCTCAAGATGCAGGAACTGACAAGCTAGGAAAATTCAGGAGTAGTCGTCAGAAGATCAGTCCAGGAGGCAAAGCTTTACTGGTGGTAAAACCTTCAAAAGGGTCAATAACCAATTTAGTAAAAACAGCATTAACACAACTCTTCACCAAGCATTCACCAGTCATGTCTGAGCAGTGATAGAGTACCTGGAGTGATTTTCAATGTAGGTGTCTGGGGCACACCCCCATGTGCATCTTTCTTGCTTTATCCACCCATTTCTGATATATCTTGCTCACTGTCATACACATGCGTCTCTTTGAGGTCATTTGTGAAAATAGACAATGCCATCTAAAGCATGGCTGCCATGGGGGATGCCCTGTACCACATGATGCTTAAGATGATGCTGGGCACCACATGGACACCTCAGAGGATGCTGTCATTGACACACAGTGGCCAGGATTACACCAAATGCCCACATGGCTGCAAGGAGAACTGGACAGAAACAGCACATTTAATCTGGAGTGGTGAGCACCTCAGGAAGGGAGGTGAGGCCCTGACAAACAAAAAACAATCCATGGGAATTCTAATAACCTGAGGTGTGAACCGAATTTGGAAGATGGGAGTTGAAAAGCAGAGAGCATAAACTGGTTGTTGCACTGAAATTATTGAAATGGACTGGGAAATAAATTCAGCCTAGGCATTTTTGAGTCACAGCCCACTTAGAAGCCGGTGGGGCCAGAGAGGGTGTGTTTTGTCATCATGACAAGCAAACCCTCTCCCAAAGTGAGCATGTTGGTTCAATGCTCTTAAAGGGTGCAGTGTGTTAGGAGTGCAATGTGTGTGTGTGTGAGGGTTGCAGTGTGTGTGGGGTGCACTGTGTATGATGACTGCAGTGTGTGTGTGTGTGAGGGATGCAGTGTGTGTGTGTGAAAGGTGCAGTGTGTATGAAAGGCGCAGTGTGTATGAACGGTGCAGTGTGTGTATGAAGGGTGCAGTGTGTGAGTTCAGTGTGTGTGTGTGTGTGTGGATGAAGGGTGCAGTGGGTCAGGAGTGCAGTGTGTGAAGGGTGTAGTGTGTGTGTGTATGTGCAGTGTGTGTGAGAGCTGCAGTGTGTGTGTGTGTGTGTGTGTGTGAGGGATGCAGTGTGTGTGTGTAAAAGGTGCAATGTGTGTAGGTGTCTGTGTGAAGAAAGCACTGTGTGATTGCAGTTTGTGTATGTGTGTGTGTGTGTGTGTGTGAAGGGTGCAGTGTGTGTGTGTGAGGGGTGGAGTGTGAGGCTGTGTGTGGAGAAGTGCATGTATGTGTGAGGGGTGCAGAGTGTGTGTGTGAAATATGTAGTATGTGTGAAAGGTGCAGTGTGTGTATGTGTCTGTGTGAAGAGTTCAGTGTGTGAGTGCAGTTTGTGTGTTTTTGAGGGTGCACTGTATGAAGAGTGCAGTGTGTGTGTGTGTGAGGGGTGCAGTGTGAGGCGGTGTGTGAAGAGGTGCATGTGTGAGTGAGGGGTGCAGTGTGTGTGTGAAAGGTGTGGTATGTGTGAAAGGTGCAGTGTGTGGATGTGTCTGTGTGAACAGTTCAGTGTGTGAGTGCAGTTTGTGTGTGTGTGTGTGTGTGTGTGTGTGAAGGGTGCAGTGTGTGAGGAGTGCAGTGTGTGTGTGTGTGTGAGGGGTGCAGTGTGAGGCGGTGTGTGGAGAGGTGCATGTGTATGTGAGGGGTGCAGTGAGTGTGTGTGTGTGTGAGTGTCTGTGTGAACAGTTCAGTGTGTGAGTGCAGTTTGTGTGTGTGTGTGTGTGTGTGTGTGTGTGAAGGGTGCAGTGTGTGAGGAGTGCAGTGTGTGTGTGTGTGTGAGGGGTGCAGTGTGAGGCGGTGTGTGGAGAGGTGCATGTGTATGTGAGGGGTGCAGTGAGTGTGTGTGTGTGTGAGTGGTGCAGTGTGAGGCAGTGTGGGGAGAGGTGCATGTGTGTGTGAGGGGTGCAGTGTGTGTGTGTGTGAAAGGTGTTGTATATGTGAAAGATGCAGTGCGTGTATGTGTCTGTGTGAAGAGTTCAGTGTGTGAGGGCAGTTTGTGTGTGTGTGTGTGTGTGTGTGAAGGGTGCAGTGTTTGAGGAGTGCAGTGAGTGTGTGTTTGTGTTTGTGTGTGTGTGTGAGGGTTGCAGTGTAAGGCAGTGTGTGGAGAGGTGCATGTGTGTGTGAGGGGTGCAGTGTGTGTGTGTTTGAGGGGTGCAGTTTGTGTGTGAAAGGTGTAGTATGTGGGAAAGGTGCAGCGTGTGTATGTGTCTGTGATAAGAGTTCAGTGTGTGAGTGCAATTTGTGTGTGTGTGAAGGGTGCAGTGTGTGTGTGTGTTTGGTGTGCAGGGGGAATGAGTGCAGTGTGTCTGTGTGTGTGTGTGTGTGTGAGAGGGATGCATAGAGGACATAGAGGTGAATCCCTGGTGGTCGTATTGAAGGTGAATCCCTGGTGGTCATAGTGGTGAGTTTACTGTCGCAAAATCGAGATTGGAGCGTTGATATGGTAACCGTGGCAGTGCTCTGACTTCGCGAGAGGAACCCAGTGGAGCTGCTTGCTTGAACTCCCTCAGGTCCTCAGGTATGGTAGCCGCTTGTTAGTGTTAGTGGGCCGGTGAGGGAGTTCTTTGATCTCCCCACTAGCCCATGAAGGCACACAGCAGGGCCAGCATTCGGATAGCTCTGGCTCTGCATGGGGCGGCATGGGAGATCCTGTAATCTATCCTACCGGCCTTGACCCATGGCAACCGCGGCCCATGGCTCATTTGCCTGGTTTGCCCGATGGCCAGTCCAGTCCTGCCCTGACATAGGAATCAATAAGTGAGTTCAAAACTGGGGGGAGCAAGCCAACACAATAACCAAGGAACATTGCACATATCTCATAGTATCTCAACATTGTCTCAGTAGAAATTGATCTGCAGCACTTGTTTACATAGAAAATAAAGTACAGAGAACACAAAGGGTGATTTATCAAGAAATTAAAG